GCTAAAAAACATTGTGTGTGTGTGTTTAACAAATAATTTTTTTATACTGACATGTTTGACAGAACATAATCTTGTTAGATCAGTTCTCGAACATATTCTTATTCCTAATTTAAAATCTCATAAAAAGTAAAACAACCTGCTTTGACATTGTACAAACTCAAATATCGCATAATATAGTTACTTTCAAAGTTGTGACGTGATCCTTCCAGATAAATTATTTTCCCCATCAGTTTCGGCAGAACACAAAGATAACGAGAGGTTTGAGGAGAATAGGTTTTGGTTTTGATTGAATTCAGAGCAAAGAAAGAGACTGGACACAAAGTAAAACAGAGTGAAAACAATATTTACTTAGCATTCAAACACAAGTAAAATGAAAAGTTTATACGATAAACAAATGACGGCGCCTTTACCGAATCGTTCATAAACCTTTGGATCTCTGTGAGAGCCTAAAGTATGTGAAGAACTGTTCCAGACTGAGAAAACATGGCATTATATACACAGTTATACAATGCAATTCCTCTCAGGGCGTGTACACTTTCTAATTTTCTGTTGGTCAATCCCATCCAAAAGTAATGGAAGATGTAGTCTTCAGGTATCACCCAATCCGTCAATAGAAAAGAGCACTACCTATTTTACATGGCATATTCTAATTTATAGCAATCTTTCCCACGATAATAATACCATAGAAGAATGACCTACAACAATAGGCAACTACGGCAAAAGGAATTTCGCCACTTCCTTAACCAATGTTCTACGCTAAGATTTAAATAAAGTGGTAGAAAATACCTACTATGCTTGCATACTACTGTGTTAATAGTCGTATTGAGTAACCAAAATATCGAAAGGAAAGAAACTGATAAATAAATACATTATTTAGATCTTAAACATTTGTTTGGTTTGTGAAATTTCGCGCAAAGCTATTCGAGGGCTATCTGCACTATATGTCCCTAATTTGGAAGTAATAGACTAGAAGAAATGCAGCTAGCCAACATCACTCACCGCCAAATCTTAGGCTACTCTTTTACCAATGGCTAGTTGGATTGGCCGTCACATCATAATGCCCCCATAACTGAAAGGGCGATCATTTTCGGTGAAGCCCGCGACCCACAGATTGTACGTCAGTGCTCTAACCATCAAGCCATGCCAGGCAGGTCTTAAATAAATTGTATTTTACGTTAGAGGACGAGTTACAACACAATGGAAAGAAAAGTTTAAGAAGTAAAGAAAACTTTTGTCCTTCAATGGATTCGAGTTTAGAGTATTCTATTGTTATTCGCATATCTGAGTACTTGCCATGACATTTTTTAACAAAAAATTTTGCTTCTCAGAACATTAGTCTGCTTGTTTGATTGTTTGTAAATAAGCACAAAACTACACAATTGGCTATCTGTGCCATACCAACCACGGGTATCGAAACCCGGTTTTTAGCGTGATAAGTCTTTAGACTTATCGCTGTGCCGCTTGAGTTCTGGTCAGCTTTTAATACAAAGCTCTTCTGCTACTGTGTCTACTAAGATAAAATTAACGTTATAGTGTAAAACTTAGTAATTTAAGTTATTTTTGATTTCAGTAGTTTAATGTGGAATTGGCTGAATACTCATCTATTTTGTTATGAATGTGTGTGTTTCCTTCTATTTTTCTATTTTAGTTGCGCAGTCATGATAACTAAAGAATAAACAGTTCATCTATGCACCATATAATTTTTTAACAAAAGATATTTCAACATGTGTCCCACCCATCCCTTTCAAACAATCTAATTTTTGAACTGTATCCTATCTACAAAACAAGTTTCAAACTTGATCTTTATTGTTAAGCCAAAACATAAAACTGGATAAAAAAAAAGACTCATTTTTCCTGTCACTTTGTTTTAATTTTCTCTTAGTTGAACAGTTTGCTAGATTGATTGATATTCAAAGAATAACTCTTCTAGTATTCAGAACTTTTTACTAACTATCACATGAACTGTGAAAGTTGATTCAATGAGAACGTTTTTTTTTTTTGTAGATGACCTTGGTAAAAATAATTAAAACTTTCCCTTAGCTTCCTTTAGTGTCGTAATAACCCATAAACCGTAATTTCCGTAGAAAAATCTCTATAGTTTTTATATACTTTCCACAAACAATCGAGGCTAACGGTCACGTTCTGAATGTTGATAGAAACCTTTTACCGGTTTTTACAAACATTAATGCCTTCCGTATAATGTTTGTTACATAATTAAATCCACCTGGTGGGTCACCTTCAAAACAGAACGAGAATAAGACTATAAATAGGAAGTATTTGTGAGTTATATTCCAAAATTGCTTGGATATAGACAGTTTTTTTTTGTTTTCCTTCAGAGCTGTCCTTGCAGTGAAAACTTACTAGGAAATCTGGTAAAAGGTAAGTAGAAACTATGTATATATTTGTACGATGATAAAACTTAAAAAGTTTTAAACGTGTACGCAACATAAAGAGTCATAATTTGAAAATAATGCAAGTCTTTCGTGATTTTTAACAATCAACTGTATCATATTTAGATTTTAATATGAAGGGTTATTTTAGGGGAAAAAAGGAGTAAAAACGATTCGTTGATTATATTTTCCTTTTTTTTTCTGAACTACTACTTCATGATATTTTGTTATATCCATTACATGAATAAAATATGAAAGTTAGAATTATAACAACATCTAAGATAATAGTGAATACGTATAACATTTTGAGTCTTATAAAGATCAAACGGATCAAAATACAAATCAACAAGTTATAGTGCACAAAATCTTTATAAATACGACTCATAATTGATTCACATGTTCTCATTTCTAATTTTAATTATATCTTTCTTCAGTTATATTTAGCTATTGTATTTTGTTGACAGTTGAATAAAAAATACGGGCATAAAAAATATTAAAGTTTATAATAATGAAATGCACAATAAGGATAATATTGAACTTTGGCGTATAGTTTGAAGTTAAGAACAAAGCTACACAAAGGGCTATCTTGTTGATAAAAGTATTCAAGTACTAGCAATACAAAGTATTAATCGTACTTTATTTGAATGGTTTTTGTATGTTAATACGGTGGTGTGTTTCTAAAGATCTGAATCTGCAGCGCCACAGCAGATATGTTTGTTATATGTATATTTCTTTCTCGTCAATTTTTGAATATTCGTCAGTACAATGCTGCTACGAATAAACTCATGACTATAAGTAGAAAAAATACCAATTCGAAGAGAGTTATTGATACAGCTAGGTTGTTAACAACGACGAGCCAAAGGGCGCAGCATTTCAAAGGAGAGAACTGGAACAATAAAGTGTTTACGACAACATCAGGCCCCCAAACTCTATCCGAAGAAACCCCTTCATCTGTAAAACTAAGGCCATAGTTACAAAAGAGGACATTACAACCCAAAAGAACCATTGTAATGAAGCATGTCATATCTTCTGGTACCATTAACAGTATTATAGAAAAGCTTTGTTCAGTAGAAAAGCAGAAAGCTACAGAATGAGCTGTCTGTACTGTGAAAAAACCACAGTAAACTGAACACGCTGTCAGAAGTCTGACAGGAAACAACGTGAGACTGAAAAGGAAGCATGAATGTATCGAAACTATCTTCTCTAATTTCAGTCCTCTGACAGTTTGTTCCGTTTACTGTGGTTTTTCACAGTAAAATTAGATCGGTTACAGCAATCTGTTAAGTCACCCAACACAACTCCAACAGACTTTTATCTATTTTTTTAGAAGGTATGTGGGCATTTTGTCAATGTCTGTGGTCTGAAGTTGATTTTCCCATCCTTTGCAGAAACTTATTACAATGGAAATTGTATTGTACGGCAACACTAGTTAATCAAACTGAGCACGATTGATAAAATAGGAAGAGTTTTAAGGGCATCATGAACCTAGAAGTAGTGTAAGGCAACAGTGTGTAACCTGGGTAATCAAACTGACACGATTGATAAAATAGGAAGAAGTTTCAAGGACATCATGAACCTAAAAGTAGTGTAGGGCAACAGTGTGTAACCTGGTTAATCAAACTGAGCACAACTGATAAAATAGGAAGAAGTTTCAAGGACATCATGAACCTAAAAGTAGTGTAGGGCAACAGTGTGTAACCTGGTTAATCAAACTGAGCACGGTTGATAAAATAGGAAGAAGTTTCAAGGACATCATGAACCTAGAATGTCGTTCTTATGAAGTACTACTAGCTGCAATTAGAGTATTACATGGACATTCTTTCGCTAAATTATTCATGAATAACTTCAAACAAACAATGATTAATTTAAATTTAAGGACTTCCGATGAATTTCTCAAAATGTTTTGTTATATATATTTAGGAATCCAACAGAGTTAGGTGGTGTCGAAAAATTATTTTGTAAACATATCTCATCAGATTAAATTCATAACAATCTCTTTCTTTGTTTCTTCTAAATAACATACTCTGATCAAGAATAGTTCTAAACAAACTTAATAACTGATTTCAACAGGGAGAAAAATAACTCGCTATAAAATATCTTATACAGATCATAAATAAGAACTTTCAAAATAAAAATAGGAAAAAATATCTATTGTTAACTATAATAGTTATGTTCATAAATAGCAAATAATTATTTGATCGTAATTCAAATGACAAAAACTATCATCGTGGCCCCGAGTGGTTCAGAAATAAGACTGAAGGTTTACAACGCTAAAAACTGAGTTTCAATACTCGTGGTGAGCACAGAACAAATAGCTCATTGTGTAGTTCCCTGCTTTACAATCAACAAACTATAATCGTGAATCCTTACTTATTTTATGATAATGTTGAAAAATCTATGCAACGGTAATACTATTTACAGCATATTTAAAAAGTCGAAATGTTTTTGAATTCATCTTTCTCTTCACATTCAAACAGCAAGTTGATTTAAATTAGTAATTATTTCAATTTACATTGACTATTATCGTTGATTTATTAAGTGCTTTATTAATCACATATATTAAATTCTTAGAACTTATGAGGGAAAGTAAAATAGAATATGTTATAACATGTCAGCCACACTATGTCTGATTTATCCAATGACGACGAGGCCTTTCGTTTAATATCAGGACCATCAGGTCAGCTTGGATACAACAGATATAGCACTAGTTGAGACGCTATTTATTAGGTCGCCAAGAAATTAATGTCGCTTTTGTTAGATGAACAAACCCGAACAACTTATTTCTCAAAACAAAACAGTTAGGAAGTGCAATAATCTCCATTGTTATCGATTTTGCTTTTCCATTTTACAATCAGGTTGCTAATGTATTGGCTTTGAAGCAAAAAAAAAAAACATGTCGACGTTCCACATTTGCATACGTTTTCCCATTAAGATGGTGTTGCAGCGAATGAAAAAGATGGTAATCTTATGGTACCATATCTGGAGAATATTGTGGGTGGGGGAGAATTTCCCAATCCAACTCCATAATCTTGTGTTGCGTCAAATGTGCCACATGTGGACCTGCATTGTCGTGGAGAAGAAGAACATCTTTAGGATTGACGAGTGAAGGGCGTTTCTCATGAAGGGCTTGATTTGAACGTTCCAGTTGCTGACTATAGATCTGTGCATTGACAGTTCGCTGTGGATTGAGGAGTTCGAGATGAATTACTTCTTTGATGTCCCACAAAATGCATAGCATCACTTTCTGCGGATGAAGTCCAGGATTTGGGGTCGGAAGTGGTTTTTGTCTAGAACTAAGCCATTGTTTTTGGCATTTAATATTCGAATAGATAATCCATTTTTCATCACAGGTGATAATTCTGTCCAAAAATGGTTCGCGCGCATTACGCGCCAGAAGAGACGAAGCAACGTTCACATGTTCGAAACGATGATCATCGGAGAGTTCGTGAGGCACCCAAACACCTTCTTTATGGAGTTTTCTCATGTTCCTTTGATGTATACCTATTGTTTAATGAGAGACATGCAATTTTAGGGCCATTTCGCGAGTATGTTGCCTTGGGTTAGACTCAACAAGCATCTTTAGAGCATCAATATCAATTCCAACACGTCGGCCCCTGGTTAAGTAAGCACAGCGTCAGCGGAAGAATACTATTTGATGATGACAAAACCTTGTCGAAACGTTGTACATTTGCTGTCATGTTAAAGTTATATTAAAGTTTTTCTTCATTACCCATTTAAGCCGTCTCCAGCCATTATTGGAAGAATACTATATTAGTTTTTCGTTGCTGTTGTTGCCAAGCTTAAATACAAAACTACACAATGTGCTATCTGTGCTTTACCCGCTGCAGACATTGAACCCAGGTTTTTACCGCTTTAAGCCCTCAGAGTTACTACTGAGCCACCGGGGGGGGGGGACAATATATTAGTAATTCTAAGAATTTATGAGTGAAAGAAAATAAGAATTTGTAGTGGTCGAAATATTTAGATTTCTTTTAAATTGGTAAAAAATTGTTTAGGACAGAAAAAAATCACCTTTTAATTGGCTAACAAAATCTTCATGCTGGTTTTGTAGTTAGGTATAGTGTTTATTTACCATATTTTGCGAAGTATTTTTATTTAAATGTTTGCATTGTTCTGGCTAGAAAGAATTCTAGAGTTGACGTTTCATGGAGTGGAATGGGATTTGTACCATTTCGACCGGATAATTATAATAAAAAAGAACCCGCCTAATGATAAAAAGTGGTACAACACCCCATTAAACACTCAAGACATTTTTATTAAACTAAAAAGTTTATAGTGTTGTTTTTATTTTAAATTGGAAATTAGTGTTCTGTTGAAACATAAATTTTTGTTTGATTAAGTATCCATATAATGGAAATATTATGTATCTTTTCATTGCGAAAATATATGAACTTATATGAAGCTTTTATTGAAAATAAAATGATAAAATTAATCAAATATGCAGCAGAGAAACTAACTACTAAATATAAAATTATAGTTTTCAATAAGTAATTATATTTGCTATTCTGTCGAATCATATTTTATGTTGTTGTTTTTCGGGTAATTTCTCTTACATTCCTTTCAGCCATATTTTTTCTGCTTTTAAGTGTTAACAAGTTTTAAATTGAATATATTTTTCTTGTTTAAAACAGGTAACCTAGCCAACAACTAAATATGAAATATTATATGTTCCTGAGTGCAGTGGTTACCTTGTTATATGTTGTTTCGGCTGGAAATATCGACGTCACCACAAATAGTGGTGACATTATGGGCTATGAACATATAACCATTTTTGGTGGAAAAGTCTTTGTTTTCACTGGAATTCCATACGCAAAGCCGCCCGTCGGTGAACTACGATTCAAGAAGCCGAAACCTATAGAAAAGTGGAAGGGAAAAATAAATGCTACATCAAAGCCTAATGCTTGTTTTCAGAAGAGATTTCAGAAAGAAGAAAACAACAACCCAATAGAAAATTTCTGGAAAATGAAAAGCCAGATCAGTGAAGATTGTCTTTACCTCAATATCTTTGTGCCTGAAAATTCAACTTTGAGTAAAGGTTCAACGGCTAGAAAAGAACCTGGTAATCTCTTACCAGTTATGTTTTTTATCCATGGTGGAAACTTTGAAACTTCTTCAGGGTCTCTAGATATCTTTGATGGATCCATTCTGGCAGATAGGATGGACGTGATAGTAGTTACCATGAATTATCGTCTAGGTCCATTCGGTTTCATGTACAATAATGAAAACCTGGAAATGGCACCTGGTAACCAGGGACTGATGGACCAACAGGTGGCATTAGCGTGGGTCAAAGATAATGTTATGAGCTTTGGTGGTGATCCTAAAATAATAACCCTGTTTGGAGACAGCACTGGAGCTGCTAGCATTGGTCTTCATTTAATGATGAAAGGAAGTAAAGGATTGTTTACTAGAGCCATTATGGAAAGCATGAGTCCTTTATATCCAGGTATATCTCACAGTGAGGAAGAAGCAATGAAAATTACTAGTATTTTCTCTAAAAAAGCAGGTTGTTCCCCTAAGATATCAGAAGATATGATGACATGTCTTCGCGGCATGGACCCAGAAAAATTGATTGCAGCAACAGAAGAACTAATGAAAGAAGGATACGAATCTCCTTTTATACCAACGTATGGTGCTAAGAATAATATTATATCCAAACCTCCACTAGAACTGGCAGAAGAAAAGATGTTCAATGCAGAAGAATTACTGATTGGATCTAATCAAGAAGAAGGATCAAGAGCTTTGAGAACTATTATAACTGAAAAGATTAATGGCGTCACTCGTGAAGAAGCAACTTCCATTCTTCAGAAGGTTCTTCCAGTCAATAAGATGAACTTTGCTCCTAAAGTGGTTGAGCTTTACATGAAAAATATTGAACCATCTAGTAAAGAGATGAACTTAGAAGCACTCAGTTACGCTCTTGGAGACTATTTTTTCAACTGTCCGACACTATTTTTTGCTGAGAAATTTAGCAAAAGTGGAAGAAATGTCTACTACTATATGTTCAATTATCTTCCGAAAAGATTTCACTCAACGAATGAATTTAGTCACGGTGATGAAGTTGAGTTCATATTTGGTCTACCGTTGAAGTTAAACGAATACACTTTTTCGGAAAACGAACTTAGTTTGAGAGTGATGTTGCACTTCACCACATTCGCAAAACGAGGGTAGGATATACAAATTTCATCTTTATACCTAACATACAACCATAAAATATTTGGGAAAATGCAATGCTTTAACAGGTTAATCTAATTTCATCTTTATACCTAACATACAACCGTAAAATGTTTGGAAAAATGCAACGTTTTAACAGGTTAATCTAATTTCATCTTTATACCTAATATACAACCGTAAAATTTTTGGAAAAAGGCAACGTTTTAACAGGTTAATCTAATTTCATCTGTTTCTGTCAATCCAAAATTTATATTATAGTAGAACTGTTCTTATCTATCTATAAAAGTGTGAAGGTGTTTCATTTAATTATATTTGGTTACAATTTCATCTGACAGGCATATTTAAGTAAAGCTTTTCTTTATTTTTCAGTAATCCTTCTTTGGTGAGTGACGAGTGGCCTAGATTCCAAGAAGAATGGCCTGCATACCAAGAACTTAACACCCTCGTCCCAAATTTTGCGTTTGTTTATAACCATTTGCATTGCGACATATGGAGAGAAATTCTCAAATCGAACTGAAAAATTTAATGCAGTGTTGATTCAGTTTCAGTTTTCTGAAGTATCTCGCTTTGTGTCGAATACGATACTGTCCAGCTGTACGCGTCTTTTGAAATTGATAAGTTTTATTTTGCTCTCTAATATCAGGCACTGGATTTTATAATAACAATAAAAAACATAACCATATATCTGTTTGCATTTTTTAGTTCTCACCAATATAAATGTATCCGAGTTATCTGTTTTGCAGTAAAGTAGCAAATTCAACATACAATTTTTCATTGAATGTTTAGTGTGTTTACCTTACTTCAATTTTCAAGGTCACCCATTAATGTCTATTTACTGAATAATGAATTTATTAATGGTAAAAACATTATTAAAGATAATACAAAATGAAATCGAATAAATTATATATGGCCCGGCATGGCCAGGTAGTTAAGGCGCTCGACTCGCAATCTGAGGGTCGCGGGTTCGAATCCCCATCCCATCAAACATGCTCGCCCATTCAGCCGTGGGGGCGTTATAATGTGACGGTCAATCCCACTATTCGTTAGTAAAAGAGTAGCCCAAGAGTTGGCGGTGGGTACAACAAAAACTATAGTTTAATGTGTCAGAAAATGGTGGTTATTAATTTATGGAGAAATAAAAAAATCATTTTCAATTGTAGTATCACCTGACCTGAAAGTGGTAAAACATCAAAATGTATTTCAATACAGTATGCTTCACTTTACAGTAATCTTTTCCACGAGAAAAAGCATGTGATACCCTAGTTGAATGGTCCAGTTCAGTAGGTTACTAGGGCAAGAGAAACTTAACAGCTACCTTGCTGACATTCTGTATTAAGACTCCATACACAGTATGTACTGAACTTTTGAAAAAATTGTATTAATTAAGGGAATAGGAAACAAGTAGGATCCTGCAAACCACAATACCACCTTGAAAAACGCATTTGCTTATTGCATTCTCTAAAACTCATAACAGATCATCTTTGCATTGCAAATGACGTTAATATTTAGCACTCTCTCTCACACACTCTTTCATTATCGTTATTTTTTGGTCAGATGAATCAGTCATTCTTTCTACTCAGATATTCTGTTGGTTTTGTTTTTAGCCACATTTGTTTATTACCTCTGACGCTATAACAAATACTTTAATAGATTGAGGGACACATATTAAGTAATTATGACCTTATGAAAGGAATTTCTTTTAAAGTTCTGACTGATCTAATTAGTCATCCACGACATATGAACCCATTTCACACCCTTATGCACTTATTTAGAAGTTTACATCATTTCAATGCATTAAAAAGACGGTGCGATCTCTTCAAATATAGTTACCTAATTATGATATTTCATGAAGATGTGGAATTCACTACAATAATATCCACCAGGAAAAAAATCAAGTATCTACAAAATACATATTTCGAAAATTTATGCTAAGAATAGTTTAGAATACAGATAGGAAAACGAATAACATAAGTGAACAAATAGAGCAATATATTTATTCACAATAGTGTGAGTCGTAATTGGCAGGCATCTTCTTCTGTTAAAAAACTGAAATCAGCTATTGGGATGGATAGAGTTACAATCTCTCAGGACAAGGATGAGATGAAGAAAGAGCCTTAGAATTATGTAGATATCTCACTTTTATGTCATACCGAAATCCTATTGTAATCTTCTACAATTCTTAAATTACCAATATGAAAGAACATTAAAAAACACACACAAGAGGGAGAAACTTCAAAACTCATTTTAACTTATATAAATCTTCAAACAACCCTTTGAAATAACCATAAATCTATTTCAAGGGAGGTGTACAGAAACAGGAGCAAACAAGTACTAGTTTCTATGGAGTGGGCATTGTAATACGCAACTTTTAACTAAGCTATAAGATTGGTATACGTTTACGACCCTCGTACATCCGCTTTACAAGCAGAACATCAGAATAAAAATTTGCAAAAGAAAATCTTAATATACGCAATTAAAACTGTGTTCTATACTATTTGTGGAATGAGTAAAATTTACAGTTCTTTCAGCAACGACAAAATTAGGGCGATAAATTTCAAACTCAGTTTCTTTTGAATGGTGATCTGCAGAGAAAGAGGAAATCTTTCATTCCAACAATTAATGCAAAGCGAATTTAATTTAATGATTTAAGCTTGGAAACGGCTGAATATACATATTATCAATAAGTGTAGATAATGAAAGCAGTACGTTTCATACACCCCTGTGATTATAGATGCATCTCACATAAACATATTGAAAATTTTTGAGAAACAAATGTTGTTTACTGTGATGAAACGTTTGTATTTACTGTCAAACTGCTTGTACATTCTTCCTGACAAGTTTTAAAGAAGAAATATCATCGGTTCTAACCTACACAATAAGTTAAATCAAGTTTTTCCTAAATTTAAATCTTTGTTGTCTGGTAAGTAACTCCAAAGACACTGTTGATTTAATGTAGTATCTTTGAGTAACACAGTCAACTTACATATTAGGGAAACGTTACTCAGTTTGTTCTTTGTGTTAAAATAGTCGACTTTAACCATCTACTTTTCTGTAACTTAACAGGACACGACAGTTTAATTAAACATATTTATATTTATAAGGGTCTTTATATATTGTTGTCGTAATCGAAAGAACCGTTAATTTTGCCCTTTCATAACTAGTAAGGAGTACTTCTTTTTTTTTTTTAGGAAAAATGTTTGTGCAGGTGTTCTGCACGTAATTAATGAAATTTCTGTAAAGCTCAAGTAGAAGGGTCATGAGCTTGCATTAATCCTATAACTTACTGAGGTAAAAATTACATACCACAATGATTATTCAATAGGGCTCATACTTGGGTTTTATCTCTATTGTACATGCATAATGGAAACTGAAATATTGTGTTTTTCTGATTCCTGTCTTCGACTCACGTAGAAGTAATTTTCTCCAACCCCAGAGCAGGAGAAGTCCCGGTAATACATTGTATTGTATGAATACAGATTTTTGTTCTATTTTTACACATGTATTTGCTTGTTTTTTCTTTGTTGTCAACGTTCATTTTACTCTCTGTATAACATTTCCGAAACCTGTTGCGCAAAGTGTGGCCCAGAAGTTACCATGGCCCAGATTATCAGTCGGAATTTCATGGTTCGCATCCATTTGCCCCAAAAAAGCACTTCACATTTTGGGGTTGTTGGTGCATTAATAGTGTAGTGGTTAAATCCCACTAATTGGTCATATGATAATAGCCCAAGAGTTGTCAGTAGGTGCTGTACACTAACTGCCTTTCCTCTAGTCTTCATGTTCAAAATTAGCTTTTTGTAGCACTGCACAAAAATCGAAACACCAGCAAACCGAAGCCTGCTGCATTGCCAGTTCTAGACACTTTTCTGTTGGTCTTGGCTTGGTTGTTAGAGTTCTCAACTCTGCGGTTGCCTGATCGAAACCCAGTTCTAAATATGCTTGCCGTGAGAACGTTACAATGTGACAGTTGGTAAAAGAGTAGTCCAAGAGCTGGCATGGGTTCTGCCGGCCGGTTGCCATCCCTCTGGTCAACCGTTCAAGATTAGAGACGACGGCAGACAGCCTTAGAACTTTTGTCATAAACAAAATATACATACAAACTGATTACCTCATTCTTTAATTGACGAAAATCGTAGTTTATGAGCATGTTAATAATCAGAATGTTCGATCTTTTTAATGAAAATGAACTGCCACATTATAAATCATTAAGTTTACATACAATTATCATGCAATGATTCGTCTAATTAGTTAAAGTGTGGTACGGATTTACAAGCATTTATGTGATAATACACTCATAAGTGATAATATACCAAAGTTAGTGTGAATACAGCCCCAGCACTATGAAAATCTACTTGTTTTATCAGTATATAATACTAATAATGTAGTAGGAAACAAACAAAATGTGGTGTAAATGATAATTTATTATATATGATTAACTTTTAAGCCGATAAGTTTCTCACATTTTTCTATATGAATATGAATGAAACAGAGTTCCTAACAAATTTATTATGTATCTATAAATGATTGATTGCATAATATATAGATAAATAGTAAAATATATTATTTTGAGTTCCTTTTTGAAGTAAAACTGATTTAACTTTATAACTTCACAAGCACTGTTGCTAACTTAGCGATTTTATCTCTATACTTAGCGACTTTTTGGTTATCCTAGCGATAAAAGTATGTCAAAGCGACTAGCGACTTTCACTGCCAATATGATATTCAGAAATGAGGAGACACTATTGAAATAATTCATTATAGAATTACCACTAAACACTGAAAATGTATTTTATTAACGCTATTGAGCTGCTTGAGAGCGATTTGTGACTATATAAATCGGTGAACTCTTTCGTAAAGAAAATTACCCATCATGTATATACGTATAGAATTGTATAGAAATTATTTATTCTCTATCGAATTATTTAGAAATTTGTCTAATGACACTTTTGAAGCTATTAAAATATGTGAACAACGGCACCTAGCGACTAATGAAGGTTTCTTTGACGACTTCCTGCTTTGTGGAGTTGGCAACAGTGATTACTGTGTGTTGTAGAGGTTTTAAACTTAGGCTACTGTGAATTAAAACATTCAACTTTAATAGCAACAAATGTAAGTTTTTTTAGTTTATTAAATAATGTCTAATATTTTTTAATACTTTGTAAGTATAGAATAAAAATAACTAAACTGGAATATTTTTTGGATATATATATCAATTTTATTATATGTATCGCAGATTTAATTTGTATTGTAGTACTTTGTTACTGTGTGGTATTAGTATTACACTTCACAGTATTAGTAAGACTAAGACGAGTAAGCCACCAGTATTCATTGCTTATCTGGGTCATTGAGCATGTAGGTCTAGTACTAGAAGTAAAACTAGTAACGTGCTGTGTGCAAATATCTAGTAATACTACTAATAATACCGGTGTTATTAGTACTAAATTAGTAGTGATTTTAAACCTAGATGTTTATAAAAGCATCTGAAAGAATAAAAGCTAATTTTTTAAGGAAAAGTATAACAGTTAAAATTTAAAAAATAACTTTTTGTGTAAACAATTATTACACTTAATTTATACTAACTTAGTAATTAAGTTATAGTATATATATTTAAACATTATGCATTGAACACTTGTTTTTTTATCTCAACTTCCAAGTTCCAGGTTTTTTTTGTGTCCTATTTTCACACTTGGCGTTAATCATTAATCAATGTATTCAACTTCTCAAGTTAAGATGATTAATATAAACGTGAGAGACAGTGGATATGAATTTTATGTTAGTTGTAATGTACCTAGTCCTTGAACAAAAGGTTGTAAACTTTAGAGGCTGAGGCTATTTACATGACTGTTGTGTATATAACTTATTATCAGATGAAAACAACTATGTGATCATTGTTTAGGGAATCTAATCTTTTGCCCATATTCATGACCATTTTGGAATTCTAGGTATTACTGATTTAAAGTTATCTGATTGAAGTACATGGTAACATACACATCACTTTTCACAGTATATTTTAAGAAAAGTTACATGTTTGTGTAGTCTTTTGATTCAACCAATAGGTGCATAGCTGTAGTGTATATGGTCTTGAAAATAAACATAACTACAGGATGACTATGAAAGTGATTAACAGTTTTAACAACATACATGACCATTTTAGAAAATTATATATTTTTACTTGTAACTGGATGATCTACATATTAACCTAACCTAATCTAAAGTAAAAAAAAACTTGCCTATCATAACCTAAGCTAACATAATCTGATCAAACCTAACCTAGATGACATAGGAAATGCATAAAATATCTAGTATGCTTATCTTTTCTAATTATAGTTCTTTGTGCAATCAGGCAAAGGTAGACAACAATTAATATTTCTACACTGTTTCTCATATAAAAGAAAGTGAAAAAACACATTTCATCTCATAAGAGAAAAACATCAAAAAGAAAAGATAGCTCATAATAAAAACAACAACCTTTATTATGGGTTAGATTTGAATGTCTAACCCTGGTATTGTGAAACTGATGTCTTTATCTACTATGCACGAAAGCTTGCCAACTTGCTTTAGCCTAACAGTTAGCCCAATAGCTTTAGTATGATATGTTTACTTGTAATAGCATTTCATGAGTTTAATGAATCATGTCAAATTTACCATAAGATAATTTTTCTGAGGCTTTTGGAGAATGTAACTTGTAGTTTGGTATTAAATATTCTCTTTTAAATATGTTGATTGATACATAACATACAGACAACAAAGGACTGTTTAGCCAGTCCTTCGATGCTTTATACACAGTCATCTTGGAAAAAATGTAAGAATTGAGGGAAACAACATAGACAATTGTGTATTTCATAAATATTTCTTTTATTACAACTGTGGTTTCACCAGTAAAGGAGAAGCCATGATGATGCCTTTAATGTCAAACCCTTGTTTGTAATAAGTGAAATATTTGTGAAACATACATTATCTTTCGTTGTTTTCCTCAGTTCTGTAATTACAAAGTTTCAACAGGTACCACTGTACATAGCAGATAAGAACTTAATCTCATTCTTTATTTTTCATATACTTTTCAATTCCCCCTTTTAAACTTGTAAAGTGCTGGCCTGCACTATTGCTGATTGAAACACATTTCATAAGCCAATCACCCTGTTAAGAAAATAACTATCCTAACTGGAGTCTAGCCTGCCTTTTTCAAATCTCTACTTGATCCTATTGTTTTCATTATGTATATATATAATTTAAGGACAACAGTGGGCCTGTTGATTCATCTTGGTCATCCCATCCATTAAACTAAACTTGAGAATAAGAATAAAACACTCAAAGTCAGTCCTAATCAATCAAATATTTGTCAAACCTTTCCTTACATTTTTATAAATTTACTGCATCCACCACATCTGATAGCAACCAATCGAAAATCCAACCATCTTGTTAAAAAATAAAACTGTCTTATCTGAAGATGAATCCCTTCCTGCTAAAATTTATATTTCTTTCCCATAGTCTCACCATTCTCCGAAATAAATATGAAAAAAGATGATGTATCAATTCCATTAACGATCTTATTGAACACCTCAATCATATCCTCTTCTTTTTTCATGAGAAAACAATTTCAGAGATTTTAATCTGTCCTTGTATGACAACCTTTCTATCCCAGCTATCATCATAGTAGCCATTCTCTGAACCCTTTCAAAAAATTCAAATTTCAATGTCCTTGAAGTACGGAGCACAAAGAAATCAGAAGTCTTATTTTTAATAATTACAAGTCAAAAGACTTAATTATTTCTATTGTCCTAAGGTTGTTACATTAGGCTTCGTAGTGTTCAGAGATTCTTAGGCTTACAGTAAATGTATTGTTTGTTTTCAGATAGCTGGTTATAAGTATTCATAATATTTTGGATACTGAAGTTTTAAGATGGAAATAAGAAATTAAAAAGTGTTAGTTGAATATAATTTATTTAAATCAAAACTTATAATTATTGTTCCTGCTGTTATTTGTAGCTGTTTTGTCACTAGTAAATTAATTAGAGTAAGAAATTAGTTAAGTGTAAGTAGACATAAACATCTATAGTTGTGGTTCTAGTAATTAGTTGAATATGTATCTTCACGAAACGTGACAAGCTGTCCTCCAGTGGCACAGCAGTATGTCTGTGGACTTACAATGCTAAAAACTGGGTTTTGAAACCTGTGGTGGGCAGAGCACAGATTACCCATTGTGTAGCTTTGTGCTTAACTTCAAAAAACAAAGAAAACAAAACATGACAAGCTTTTAGTCAAATGTATGAGTCTGATGTACAAAAAATTAGATGTGTTACTAAAGGTATGTCTTTGAAATGTGGAAGTCACTCTGAATCAGACTGACAAATCGGAATACAAGGTGATGTTAAATAAGAATAAAAATATTTTTGTCCATCATAAAGTTTACAAGTTACATTTTCCTAACCTCTACAACCTTCTGAATGCATATCTACAGTTTTATTTATTATACTGTACATTGTACCTGTTGTTTACTCTACTCTAGCATGAACTGTTGCAAAGTCAGCAATGTAGGGTAACGTAACACTTTTAACTACTGACATTAAAATGCATAATACATATTGAATGTCACTGCATGCACACTTTGATCCCCACCCATATACATAGGGTTAATAATATCAGTTATAATAAATGGTGTATTTTAGTGTTAAACTTGCATGTATTTTAATAGGTAAATCATGCAATAGCTTAATGATAGTTAAATTTACAAATATTGTGTAGCTAGGTTGATAATACTAATAATAGAGAATCAAGAATAACATTACCTTCAGTTTTCTTAGAAGTAGTTCAGAGATAAATGGGGTGGAGTTCATATGGAGCACTGGGTGCCAGGATTGTGTTATGTTTGAGAGATCTTATAATGAGATCAGGGATGTTACTACTTGGAACAATGATGCAATGATTGTAGGAGATTTATACTTTAGTTACATTGGGTGGGAATTGGGATTGTATATTGTGAACAAAGAGAAGTCTTTTGAAGGTATCGAGATGATTTTGAATACCTAATTTTCGGGTAGTCAACCAAAAAAGATGCAATTATATATTTATCATTAACTACTCATGAAATGTTAAGAGTCAAACCATAAAGAAAGTTTTTTAGAAACTATAGGATTGGTCGGGTAACTTACTGGAAACAATGATATTTTTGATTTATTGTTAACTGCTAATAGAGAAATTGTCAATAGGGTTGAGGTTTGGCAACATCTGGTAGAAAGTGATCATTGCTCAATTAGGTCTTACATTTTATATAGTATAATATGACACAATTTTGAAAGGTCAGGTCCTAAGTCACTAATAAATCTTTGTTTCTGCAATGCTACTGTAGTCAACAAAATGGAGTATGAAAATAAACTTGTTAATCAATATCAATAAAGTTGAAACTGATATGTAAAATGGAAGTTCCTGATCAATATAAAAACAATTGAAATTTGAAAATGAAAAGAAAGTAGTTTAAATTTTTTTTAAAAACATTGTCTCAGAAAAAAATATAGAAATTCTGACATTTCTCATAAAAACTAAATCAATTGATATGAAGTTTTTGAAGCCAAAACTAGATAAAAAGTGTAGTAGGCTTCGTGCAATTTTTAGATTAAGTATTTCCACTGTGAGAATAAAAAAAAACAAGGGATATCAGTAACCTCTACAAGTTCAGAAATGGTTATCCTCTTTAGTATCTCTAGCTGTATCGAGGATGTTTAGGTAATACAGAACAACTTAGATTGGATGGTAAATTAGACAAATACTTGGAAATTGGCATTTGACTGAGTTAAGGTAATGGATTTGGGTTATTTTAATTTAGGTCACACATTTAATATAGATCCATAATGGTAGAAAATCACTCTTTGTCAACTAGATATCTACATTTCTTGTTGAGAACACTTGCCTAGTAAAGTGTATTCTTATGTAAAGGTGTATAACCTATGTAAAAAATATTTATTATTTGATTTTTGTTTAATCATTGGCCTGGTAGAAGAGCTGGTTGTTATTTTTGACATTATTCATAATCTGTTTTCCAGGATCTTGGATGCAATTAGTGGTAGTTAGTTTACTTATGTTTTTTTTTTTGGAATAACTTTTTACTGGAATCAGTTACTTGTATGGGAAAACAATATGGTGGCTTTGTGGGGTCATATGTTGAGTAATCAGTTGATATTCATATTGTGATATTTAACAAATACATTCAATTGAGTAAAAAGGTGAGTTCATATTTTCAAATCATGTTAATACTAGCAGATGTCTGTTGAAACAATTCAATTGTAATTTTCCTAAAAGCAGTGATGCATAAATATAAAATATGCAGTCAATCTAGTTCCTTGCATAATAATGTATATGCAATATGATTATCTAGTGGGTTTTTTACAACTGTATTTTGTCATTTCATGTGTTATTTCAATAAAGAAAATTGTATTGCATTTGCTTTTAAGAAGAGGAGACTGACTGCAATGAATTATTGACAAAAATGTTTGGGTTTTGAGGCACTGGGTGCATCTAACACAATAGAGTGCTCAGGTTTGCATAGTAGCCGTAGGGATTTTTTCCATTGGATGTCACCATTCCTTGTCATTTTACAGAGTGCAAGGAAAGACTGCTGCTGAAGTGAGTGCTTTTGACAGTTGTCATTTCTATAAGAAGGGGAGATATTCAATTACAATAAAGTCATGAATGTATACATTACCAATGTGGAGAAAAAAATAATAAAAATATATATATAAACCAAACAACAAATATATTCTCAGACATGTCCATCTCTTTATCCATATTCTTTCTGTTCATCTGCCTATCTCCGAAGTATTTCTTTCATTCAGTAGATTGAGAAAGTTTTTTTTGTTGTTGTTTTTGTGAAATCCCTCAAACAAAAAAAACTTGTTTTTAATAAGTTTTCTCAGAATGACCATTTAACACATACAAAGATTAATGGATTGATGTTGATATCAATATGAAACTTTAGGAATTGCAAAAAATGAATAATTTTTTGTGATGTACTCTTGAAAATAAGCATTTTAATGTAATTTTTCTTCTATGATTAACTGCTTAAAAAACAACAACATGACTGACAGACATGTGGCACTGTTATATATATATATATATATAGATTGATGTATTTCTAAAAGTTAGAGTAATATTTATATAAAAATGTTACTTTTTAAAACATGTCTTGTGTAGATCACCGTGTCCCATAGGTAATGGGTAAATAATAGTTCTATCTACTTAGTAAAACTTGAAATAGTTTAAGGTCAAATTTAATTTTAAGAGTACTTTGGATCTGAAGAAATAAGGGTGTTTTATTTCAATAATGTAGATAATTTTGTTACTATACTCAGAATTTTGTGTTTGCTGATAATTTTCATATTATCTTCAGAATATAGCAAAATAAAAGCAGGACTTTATCCTGTTGAAAATAAAGATGAATCTTGTAAACTTCAATAATATTGCTTTTACCCTTCTTTTCTCAAGAAAAGATAATTTAAAAAATCTGAACATATATGTGTAAGATAACCCTTCCTTCCCTAGAATCATCCTTGTAGCCCTCCTGTAAGCCCTTTCCAACTTCCTTTCTTAGGAAAGGAGATCAAGACTGTATACAGTTTTGAAGTGAGGCCTGACTGTGATTTGTATAAAATAATAATTTCTTTTTTAGCAACAAAACAATAACTTGAGTGACTTATCTTCTAATACTCCAAGGTTATTTTCTTCAGTCGTGATAAATTGTGCTACATAAGTAAACTGAAGTCTCCAATATTATAGAAATCATAAAGTTATTAAAACTGTGAAAAAGATTACTTTTTGTCCTTAAATCCATTAAATTTTATCATATTTCATTCAATCACCTGGAAATGCATCATAACCCCTTGGATTTTCAATGAGTAGGTGGCTGATAGGGGGATTTAAGTTAGAAATGTCTAATTGGCTTATTACATTTACCTCATTTGAAGAGTATTGTCATGATTAGTTGGAATTGGCCATTTTAAGTATTTTTCGTTTCCCGTTTCAATGTTTAAAGTCTAACTCTTTGTATTAAAAAGTTAGATGGTCGGTGGTAGGGTTCTAAAACTAGCACCAGTTAAAGGTCAAGTGTATGCTTTATTTTGAAGTAAAGTACTGCATCCATTTGTGTTATATATGTAATAGACACAACTAATTAAAATTCATTTCAAAGCTGAGAACATTTTAAGCTTAACCTTTGGTATATATAGTATAATATATATAATGCTAAAGACACTTCTGAGTAGTTGAGACCTAACTGTCAAAAGGTTTTAATTACATTTTAAAAAATTGATTACTTGACTTCTAATATCAGACATTTCTTGAAGTGTATGGTTAATTCAGTGGGGAGTTAGTAGTTTTACGCTTTGTTGAATAAGAAATTTCTGATCGTTTTTTTTAATATTACATTATTAAATTATACACCTTTTTTTTTATAAATTCTTCTTAACAAGTAGGCCTTCTGAAATGTTCTTGGCTTTTACACCTGATGATTACAAGATGTAGATGAACTGGATTACAGTCAGAAAAAAAGGGGCCCAGAATCGAGTGTGTCTCCTGCAGTTATTTCTACCACAACCCACGTAGCTGACTTAGAACCTATCAGACTGTTTCTATTTTAATAGTATCAAGCCACAAGAACTGGAAATGACAAGTAGGGATAGAACAGCAGAATTTATTTCCACTGTCAAATTAATGCAAGGCAGAGTGGTAAGATATTGAAATATGTTTATGTGATATCTACAAGCCTATTAAAAACTTATATTTTACACATTAGCAAATAGCATAAATAGCTGAAAATTTGTTGACTCAAAAACTATATTTTGAATAGAATATTTTAAAGGTTTGTGTAGATGATGATTTATTATTGAAAGCTAAGCCTCATGAAATCCTACAAGTGTACATTTAGTTGTCTCTTATCATTGAAAGTTAGATGTTTTACAGTTGTTTTAGCAGTTCTCTTCAGCTTTTTATAACTGCTCTAACTTTGTTGTGACCCAATCTGTGGATTTCTAATTTCTCAGAAGACACCCTTATTCTTGTAGCTATATATTTCAAGAGGACTTTGACCTTTTCAGTTATCAGGGATTCACCCTTTTTTTTGGCATCACTTGCAGTTAGATTTCAGACTTGATGAACCTGTTTTAGTGAAGCAGATGGGTTCTACACTTTGGTGTGATGCTTTGAAAAACAGTGTTGTGCATTAGTGAAGACTTTTGATGGGTCTCATTCCAGAAAACTCCCTCGTCTCCAGATTCCTGGTCTAATATAAATGTTGTCACAAGAAAACCAAAGAAATCATTGTGAACCATTATACTCACCTTTCTATTTATTAGACATGTCATTTTATGGATGAATCTAATTTTTTTTTCTTTTTGAGATGTTAAACTTTTCATTTCTTACCCAAAAAAGTACTTTTGTTTGTTTGGAACAGTTTGCTATTAGTGAACCATTTTAAGTACTTAAAATGAGTTTAATGAGTCCTAATATTCTTAGTAATTAGAACATTTTAATATTGAACATTTATTAAATGCAATAGAAAAACTATTCATAATATTACACTAATTAATACTAATAAATTATAAAATTAATAAATAACCACTCCTGATATTATAAATTTCAGCACAGATTTCCAAATTATGAGACTGGGGGCATACTTATATGTTAATATAAGAAATTTAAAAAGCTGCTTTCAAATTTTCAAGCACTTGTGAGAGGGTTAATCAGTAAGCAGTATTGAGATATTTTTTGTAAGATTTCATGAAATTCAAGTACTAACTCTAGACCCTTACTAAATTGCAAATGTTTGGCAAAAATGCGTTAGTTATATCAAAATTTATTGCAGTATAATAGTATTTAGTTCTTGAAAAATATAATGAAAAACATGGTAAGAGTGTAACAGCTAATGCACTCTTTTTACACACACTGTTTGTAGGGTAATGGATACATTCAGCCTCAGCAAAACAAACAACCAAGGGACCTACAGGAGTGGAAAAATTTCATGAAAGTTGCAAAGTAAGTAGCCTTTTTTTTTTCTTCATGAGTTACATTCATTATTGTTTAGTCAGTCTTCCTGAAAAAATGTTTTTAATATATGTATTTTTCTGTTTTATTGTTGCATGTGATATATAATATTAGATATATAATTCTTAAAATTGTTGTGGTGAGATACCAATTGTTATTCTGAGTAGTTGTCTATATAGTTATGCAAGTCTATTGATGTTTTAAGTCACTAATTAGCATATAGTTTTTACTGTATGTCTTGGCTGTTGTTGTTTTTTGGGGGGAGTCCTGTAATGGACTGAATGTGGTGTGCTATCCACACATCTGGGCTCTTGACTTGCCTCCAAGATAATATCAGTTTGGTCAAAACATACTGTTATTAGTAATTAATGGATAAAATAAAAACTTGTGGCCAGCTAGAAATTAGATTTTGGTGATTCTATAAACTACTGTGGTTTATGTTTGAGGCTTTGCAGCTAGATTTGGTACTCGTATCGTTATTTCTACAACTATAACCACTTAAAATGAAAGTTTTTAAAGTTTGCATATAATCAAAAGCCAAAATCAGCCATCATCCACTTCGTGTGGCATATAAACAGACCTTGAAACTAATTTTCTTGGCAAAAGAAATATTTTGCCATTTACTTGCAACAGTGCCCCACTGACAAAAAAAAGGAAAATAATTAAGATGTTCGAGTTGTGTGCCCTAAGTGGATATAACTAGTCATCTGATTTAAATTTCCAGGAAGCATTGCATATTTGATATTTTAATATATTATCAAATTTGTGTTTGTGGCAATAATTACATTTCTTAATATAAGGTAAAATTTTAAAAGATGTGTATTAAGTTATTAGAAAAGGCTTATCTATTCATTGTTTCACATGTTTTTTTTATACGTGTTGTGCTTGCAGCTTTAACGTGTTTTATTAATTTTGACCAGTTTACAACCAGTCTGAATAATTCTATTATGTCTGGATTATCAACTAGGAAATAAATGCCAATGCCCTTCGTTGGTCATTGGCTACTCTTTAGGACCAACCCATTAGCATTTTTCCAACTAGCTACTGCAGTTTTCAAGCTCTGATATAAAGCACAACTTTGTTGGGCAGTAAATTTCACAGTAACACAGGCCTCCAAATTTAAACTTCACGAAAGTTGTTTTGGTTTTTAATAATGGATTTTCAATAATTCAGCTATGCAGCTTTCAAACATAATATTCTTTTTTTTTCTATCACATGAGGATTTTTTACAAATTGGGAAGAACAAACTCTAACTTAGATCAAATTATTATTTCCTTTACCATAATGAACATGTTTTATTATAATGTTTCTTAACAAAAATACAAACAAACTGAAGAAAAGGGAAGAACACTGATCTC